AATATATTTATGTTTGTGGTTGTAATGTGACAAAATATGGAAAAGTTCAAGGGGTATGAATACTTTTGCAAACCACTGTATAAAATTCTTGAATCTAAAACTGCAAAAGTCTCTGATCATCACATGCAGCAGAAAATTTTATCTACACACAAGGACAAAATTGTTGGTACCCCTCGTTTATTGACGGAAAACCCCACAATGGTCACAGAAATAACTAGAATCTGACAAAAGTAATTAATAAAAATTCTATGAAAATGAACAAATGAAAGTCAGACATTGCTTTTCAACCAAGCGTGGTGTTTAAAAATACATTTGTGCACCTGTGACAAGGCCTGAAACTTTTTGTGTGTATGTCAGCTGCAGTAGAGCGGCCTAATTTTAAGCATTCTCGGCCACCCCAAAATACAGTACATATGCGTGGAGTGTCTAAATCAAGCAGTGGCTTGCCTTGAAAAAGAGTGCAGACCCCAGGGGTTGAGAGTTTCTCATCAATTGGGCCAGAGGACTCACAATTTGGTGCAGGCTTTGATCTGAGATAAAGATTTTGCTGTTGTACTAACTTCAAGCCTGTCAGAGAGAGTCATGTTTCCTGAAACATTACAGCAGCAACTGAGGACCTCAGAGAAGAACACATTTTTCACTACTTCAACAGAATAAAAAAATAAATAAAACTCGTGAAACAGGCCTGGACAGAAATGATGGTACCCTTAACTTAATATTTTGAGGCAATCACAGCAATCAAACAATTCCTGTAACTGTCAGTGAGACTTCTGCAGCTCTCAGCAGGTATTTTGTTCCACTCCTCATGAGCAAACTGCTCCACTTGTCTCAGGTTTGAAGGGTGCTTTTTCCAGAACTTCAGAATATTCCAGTGTTTCCCTCTGAGCCATTCTTAAGTGTTTTTAGCTGTTTTGGGTCATTATCCTGTTGAAGACCCATGACCTGTGACTGAGACCAAGCTTTCTGACACTCAGCAGCACATTTCTCTCTAGAATCATTGATAGTCTTGAGATTTCATTGTATCCTGCACAGATTCAAGACCCCCTGTGCCAGATGCAGTAAAGCAGCCCCAGAACATAACAGAGCCTCCTCCATGTTTCACAGTAGGGACAGTGTTCTTTTCTTCATATGCTTCATTTTTCTGTCTGTGAACATAGAGCTGATGAGCCTTGTGACAAAGTTCCATTTTTGTCTCATCTGTCCATAGGACATTCTCCCAGAAGCTTTGTGTCTTGTCAACATGTAGTTTGGCTTTTTTATGATTTGGTGTCCTCCTTGGTCATCTCCCATTAAGTCCACTTTGGCTCAAACGGCGACGGATGGTGGGATCTGACGCTGATGTTCCTTGAGCTTGAAGTTCTTCTTTAGAAGTTTTTCTGGGATCTTTTGTTACCGCTCACATTAGCCGAATAGCCGTCTCTTTGATTTGTCATCTATTTTCCTCCTGCAGCCACATCCTGGGAGGTTGGCTACAGTCCCATGGATCACACATTTCTCAATAATAGGTGCAATTGTAGTCACAGGAACATCAAGCTGCTTGGAGATGGTCTTATAACCCTTTTATTCCACGTTTAAAGAGAAACTTCTGAGCTCAGGTACAATGAATGAATGGAGAGTTTGGGTGTATGCACGTTGCACTCCGGTGAGATCTGAGGACTAACATGAATTCACCTCATAGACACGGATTTGTTTGGAGCTCCAAGGACCTTCTTTACACCAGATCCAGACACATCCTGACAGGCTGTGTAGGTTCTCAGGAATGTAGAAGAATCGTCATCCAGTCTAAAGAGGCCCAAAAGGTCCAAGCCATCCATAAAGGTGGATTATGTAAGTTTAAAATTAATGGCTGAAGTTAATGCACTTTGAAACGTACTTTGGGAAACTGTGGATCTTGCCATTCATACAGATGCTACTTTGATAAATGAGCTTTGTTTTATATTTATATTTTGATTTGCCTCTGATTGTACAGCACCTTGTGAATCTATTTCTATGAAAGGTGCTATATAAATAAAACTTTACTGATTTACTTTGTTTTACAAATAGAATGTACAGGCAGTGGCAGTAGACTGTTTGACCCGGATAATGTTTCCTGTCCCACTAAAACATGGTACAAAAATGTTTGTGGTGCTAAGTTGACCTCAAGTTGCAGTCTAATTCAGCATCACTGGGATCTGGTGGCAGAGCAGTCTGGTTCATTTCCACCCTACCTTACATGGGAACATGTACTGATCACACAGAAGTCTAATGAAGCATTCATTTTCTGACAACCACAAACCTTTAGAACCTGACACTGTGAATAAAGACCCCCCACTTCTTTTCTTCTGCACTTACATAATAGTTTTTTTTAACTTTAAAAGTCTCCTGAATCTGCCTGATCAATTTTTTCTCTTTGATTTGTCAAAGGCAACTCTAGGTTATCATATCTAATCGTTTTTACAGAGCTTAGACTCAGAAACATCCTGTATCTTTTAGATAATTTCTTGGAAGAACATTTTTGGAATGAAAAAGGCGAAGAAACTCAGTCACAGGAATGTGTCATTAGTTTTGTTTAATTTAATTTCCATTCATTCATGCTATGATGCAGATTACTTCTGTTACCAGATGTGGCATGGGCCTGGCTCTGACTGACAAACAGCAGACAGAAGGTCTTCAGACACATTGCAGTAAAGAACAAAGCAGTCATCTTAGAAGTGATGGGCTGTTAGTTACTACCATTGATATATTTTACTGGATTTGGTGTCACGTGACCTGGGCGTGCTTTGCAAGGGGGATTTTTATGCATTGAGCTAATGCTAATGCTAACCATTGAAATCAATGAGCAGAACGTAGCGCGGTGCAAACAAACGCTTTATAAATGTACAAATGATACAAATACTTTGCTATAAACTGCAGACATTATTACAACATGTTTACAAGAGCTAAAAGGGTTATGTTTCACAGGTAAATATTACGCATATTTAACCAAAATTAATTATTTTAATTGTAGAACCTGTAAGCTAACATTAAACAGCTTCAATGTTCATGTTTAACCTTATTTGAAATCGATTTTATCTGTTGTCAAACATATTATTTACTGATATTAAACATTTATATGGACTTTATTGGATTGTTGACTAGTTAGACTGCATATAAATTCAGAAATTATGATGTAGACTCGCTAATGACAGACAGTAATGTAATGATTGAGCATCATAAACAAAATGGTCACATTGTCAGACAGGCTGGTTCATTCAGATATTTTCTACATCCAGTATTTGTGTTTTTCAACATTTCCAGAGAAAAAGGAGGAAAAAAAACATGTGTGCCAGTTGTGAGTCGGCTTCAGATACAGCCTGCATCATTGTGAAGCTGAAGAATAATTCTTTGTGATAAAAATAAATTCATTAAACAATTCTTTGTGACATGAAATAATTTGTATTTTTAGTTTGTTTTTACTGATGTTAAAATTATTGTAGTTTACAGCAAAAACTTCTATAGTTGTACACACACACATGATATATAAAATTCCCTTCTCACCCTCCGCGGGTGGTCTTTCTCATCCTCTGAGCTCGGGTCCTCTACCAGAGGCCTGGGAGCTTGAGGGTTCTGCGCAGTAT